GTCCATCCCAAAGAAATGTTAGTGAACAGCCCCAGCAGATTTGAAGATAGCCCATCCCAAAGAAGTGTTAATGAAGTCCTTCCTGCCCAGATTACTTCTTTGGCCCACCTGTGTCCCACCCCTCGGGCCTTCCAACCTAGGGTCCATCACTGAAAAGACTATAAAAAGGGGAAACAACCACACTTCCACAGATTCCACCTCTTGGGTCCCCTTCTTCCTCCGGGAGAAGTCTTTTCTGCTGTCCTTTAATAAATTTCTAATTTCTACTCCGACCTTGCCTCGGCGTGCTTCTCTGGTGTTATTCTTCAACATTGGGGAAGCAAGGACTCATCACCGGTCAACAGCAGTAACATTATCAATAAAATATGTAAAGCTTTATGTCACCTTTTACACTGGGGTACAATTTAAATGTATTTTTAAGTTAATGAGAGCCTAATCTGTGTGAAAGGTAATATTGTAAAACACAAAAGTACTTTGCTACTTTTCTACAAAAGGTTAAAAGCTTTCAGCCTTTATTTAATTCATGTTTTAGATGTAATATATTGTGTTAGCTAATATTCATGTGAACTTGAGCAACAATTTATGTAAGGTTTATAAAATGATGTTTGAAAAACAAAGATCAGCTTCAGAACTAGAGCACTTTACTTAAGATTTATGAAGAGCCCCACCTTTTCTGAGATAAGGCTCTGTTACTACATGTGAGAATGATTACAAAAGAAGTAGGCTAGATTTCAGTACATTTAAAGTTGTGTCCAAAAGTTGTTTTTTTTTCAAAAATAACAAGAACCCAAAAAAGAAAATAAAAAGAAAAAACCCTCCAAAAGTCAAAGGAACCAATAAAAAAAACAAAAAAGGTTTTAACCCTGGTAAATTTGGTTTGGAAGTTTTCTTATAAATGGTCTAAAGATTGCCTGTTAATGTTTTGCATAGGTAGTGCTTTAAGAACTCACAACCTGGGTTGATTTAAGATAATGTGTTATCACCTACAGGATAGAGAGATAGACATTAAAGCCCGGTACTCTTAATATAAGAATTTTATTATTGAAATTTATTTTCTGGATGTTTAAGATTAAGTTTTAAAATTAAAGTTAAATTAAAAGGGCCAAGAAAACCAATGTTTGGCTCTTATCCTCTGAGTCAGTCTGAATCTAGGGATCAGGGGACTTTTCTAAAGAGCTTTGCAACTCTGGACCACATAATCTCCTGATCAGGGAGATTAATGAGACCACTGGAGAACAGAAAGCCAATCAGTGCATTTACTATGAAGAGGAGGGTCATCAGAGAAGGGAGACATCCCTGATGCTTCCAAGGGAAACCACAAGGTCAAGCAAGACCTGGACCTATCCTAGCACAAATGACACTAGCAGAACTGAGAAGCTGCTGTAAAGTTCCCCCAGGATTTCCATGGAAACTCAGATGACTGTTAACAATAGATAGAAACAAAAGTCAGTTTGACTGCTTCATCTTAAACACTTAGCAAAGTCAGCTAAAGCCAAAACACAGTTATTCCTGGGCATTTTAAATAATAATAATAGTTGAATGTCACTTAAGGTATACACCTTGTGTTAGCCAACTTGGAAGTTACAGAAGAGATTCTTAGGCAGGAATTCCTGATAACTATCAAAAGAAACTATCAAGAGGAACTTCCAGAGTAGTTTTAGTTTAAGGCTTACAGATATTCCTAACCTACACAGGTAGGCTTGGTGTTTGCTAGTATGATTATGCAGCCCTAAGTAACAGAATTAAAGGTTTCTCTATTAAACACAGAGGTCATACTAGTAAAAGGATTTTGCAAGATCATATGACATTAAATTATTAAACTGTATCTTATGGGGAAGGACATCTGTAACTCTAAAAGTTAAATGTTATGTTTACATTCCTGATAACTGGGGATGTTAAAACCTGGTGAGGAAACTTCTATTATACAGCAACATGTTCCAGCTGCTGCAACATTTATTCAATACTCATGGTTTTTGTTTCTCTCATAGAAGCATCCATCCCCAGATGACTTTGCAACCTGTTTTTCCCCAACCAGACTTCAAACGGAACTGACTTCTAAAAGGGAACTCACGTTCCCTGGAAACTTGGGAACCAATCATGGTTCCCTCAGTTGAGGGGCACATCGTCCTCCATGTTGTCGAGCCCCCTCATGTTCGACACCCCCTTTCAGCTCTGAAGCAGCCAGAACGAGCCGTCACCCCTTCTCCTTACAGCAATAAGGAGTTCCTAAAATTAGGGGGGGGAATGAAGCCAGAAATAGATAGACAGTGTCAATAGGTAAATAGAGTCAGGTTGGATCTAGGAGGCCAATTTTGAGTGAGTCTGGGAAGTTGAATACTGTCCCTTGAGGGTTACTGTTTACCAAGATGTAGAGCCTTCCCAAATAGACCTCCAACTGAGGGAACCATGAATGGTTCCCAAGTATCCAGACAAAGGGGGGAATGAAAAATCAGCCCCTACCTCAGAGCAAAGCCTGTCCAAGGAAGGGGGCATGACCCTTATCCTTGGAGAGACCCACAGAACACTCCTAGGCATATACCCACCCTGCTGAGTTGTTTATCTACAGATAACAGGAGAGATCTGCTGTGCCAGGTGTCCCTGACTCAGTTAGGCTAGGTGGGGACCCATAGCAACCCTCTACCAGCCACCAATCAGCATAAGATAGGAAAAATACCTGGGATGCCAGATGACCCTCCCAGTAATTTATGGTGGTTGATAATGTGTCAGGGAAACTATGTAGTTCATCACTTACACTCCTCTTGGCTTAAACCCATCAGTTCAAACGAATCCCCCTCTTGTACTAACTAATCACCCCTACCCAAATGTTTCCTGCCAGTGAATGTGCTAATCATGTTTTAGAGTAGTTGTTTGATTTTGCCGCAGTGTGTGATGATTTGCTAAGAGATGCTATGATGTATGTGGAGTCCCTGCCTTCTCCAAAGAATGTATAAAACTGCTGCAAACCCTGGGCTCCGGGGGCCTCTCAGCATCACCATCACCAGTTGCTGTGTGCACGTGGAGGACCGAGCTAGCTCGAAATAAACACCTCTTTGCTGCTTACATCGATCTGGGTCTCTGGTGGTCTTTTGGGGGTCCCAAATTTGAACATAACACAGTCTTTCAAGAGTCCCAGAAGGTTGGAATGTTGCAAATGAGTTCTTTCTTCACTCTGGTTTCAGATAAGAAGTTGGTAATAGGGTTGAAGTCACCTACAGACCAAAATTGCACCATGCTAGGCAAGGCAGGGGTGAAAACACAGTGAAATTTCCTGCCATATTAAATCTGATTTTTCTTGCTTCGGTATTCACTTTGTTTAGTATAGACCTCTGGATATTTACCCGATCTCCTATAAGGTCATTTGACCCATGTCACCTTGTGTTTTCATGTTTCTTTGAGAGAATTTGGAACTACTTAGTTCAACATTTTGCTGATACCACTTTATATGGTAAATTTTCAATTGTACCATGAGATTTTCTTGTATTAATGCATTATAGTTAAAATAACTATTTTCAAACATTGTAATTAAGAGCATTTCTAGTTTTCTGAGTGAATATTGTTGAGAAACATCATGAATTATATAAAATATCTTTACAATTTTTTTTGTGTATTTTCTTTTTTGGTATTGGGGATTGAATCCAGGGACCCTCTACCACCAAGCTACACTTCCAACCTCTGTCCCCACCACTCTTTTGCAGTTTTCGACAGGGTCTAATGAAGTCACCACTTTTGAATTTTGTGATCCTTTTGCCTAAGTCTTTAAATAGTGTAATTATAGGATTTTGTGTACTTTTTCATAAACCATATTTTACAAAAAGTGTTTTGAAACTGGATGACAGATAAAACACTCAGAAAATTGTAAATTATATCTAAATACTGAATAACTAGTACTACAATAACTGTTACAAAGTAATTTTTTTGCAACATTGTAAGGATAGCACCAGTGTCAGCACTGGATATTCATATTATAAAGAATAAAGAAACAAAAGAAATTTGCTGATGAAAAATGCAAAAGACACATTTTCTTTCAATATCAACTTTCAATTTTTTTTAATCAAAGGTCACTTTTTTGAAATATGCTCATTTATCTTTTATCTAAGTTGTGTACATATTTGCGTGTCTCTGTGTGCATACAATAAAAGGGCTAACAAAAAGTTAATATCTAATCAACTTTTTGTTGCTGTGACAAAAATACCTGACAAGAACCATTTAGAGTAGGAAAAGTTTATTTTTGCTCACAGTTTCAAAGGTTCATTTCATGGTCAACTGATTCTACTGTTTTGGGCCTGAGGTAAAGCACAACTTCATGGTGGAATGATGTAGTGGAGGAAAGTATGGTAGCCAGAAAGGAAAGAGACATACAGGGAGGGAAGGGATGAAGGGGGAGAGAAAAAAGCCAGAGACAAGATATAATCCCCAAGTGCATGCCCCTAGTAACCATCTTCCTCTAAACACACCCCACCTGCCTACAGTTACCACCCAGTAATTCATTCAAATTATTACTACATCAAATTGATTAACCCATTGCTTACGTTACAGTTCTTATAATCTAAAAATTTCACCTCTGAACATTTCTACATTCATTAACACATGAGCTTTTTAGGGGGACACCTCATATCCAAACCATAACAGATAGTTAATTGTTTGAAATGATACATAATATAAAGGTGACTTCATCATATCAAAGACAAAGAAATTGGTAGCTTGTAATTTTTGCTTATTTAATGCATGGCTAATAATCATCACCAAATGTCTTATAATAATTTGCAATAACGTGGGAACTCTGATTACAAAAATTTCTTTTTCAAGAAATTAATGATTTTATTATCACTATTTGATAATTTAATAAGAACCCACTTTTATAAAAAGTAAACTGTCTCTAATGCTGTTTTATTTCTGTGGAATACTGCTTTAAACTTGCTCCTCCTCCATGTCACTTCACCCATAAACTTTGAACAGGAAGACGCAACATATCCTGTTTGTGGTTCATATAACCTGTGAAGGCAGAAGACAGAACAGTGTGTGCTTAGCCAGCGGAGTGACAGCTATGGATCACAAACATCAGTGTGTGGCACTAAATGATGGACATTTCATTCCTGTACTAGGATTTGGTACCACTGTACCTGATAAGGTAACAGTAGTGTCTTGGGCTGCAGGGTTTGTAAAAAAAAAGAAAAGTTTTAAGATGAGTGAATGTTGGCTTGAATTTTCAAGTTTGTATTCCTGTGTGATTTAGGGGGAAATTACCTGGTCATCAGTTCTCCAGGCTAGAGCTAATCCACATTCCAGAGAGGAGGATATCATACTTTACTCTTCATTGTGGTATGATCCTGTGAACACCTACTGATTATTCTAGGCTTTTCATATCAGTAATAAAGCTGTTTTGCTTTCTTATCATCTCTGTTTATTGGAGCAGGACTTTCAAAAATTTTTCCATTGCATAACAACTTGGCTAACTGGAACAAAAACCCTAATTTATGACTGATCTTGGCTTTCCACATATCTTCCTCACTATGCTTCAACATTTCTAGCTTTTGATTTTATATGAGAGTCATGCAACTCTTCCTTTCAGTTGAACATTTAAGGGGCATTGTAGAGAGACAGGGAGAGAGGGAAGGGGCGGGGGAAAGATACAGTTGGTAGAACAGTTAGAACCCATGTGGTATTTTCCAAATAAGTTTATTGTCTTATGTGGATTTTGTTCATGGCACCCAAAACAATTATAATAGCAATATTAAATATCACTGACCAAAGATTACTATTATACACATAATTAGCATGAAAAGTTTGAGATATTTGTGAGAATTTTCAAGACGCAGAATAGAGTTTGAAATATTGTGAGATTTGTAACAATGCAACATTTTAAAATGGTGCCAATAGACTTGCTCCACCCAAGGTTGCCACAACCTTCATTTTATCAAAAAAAAAAAAAGCAATGTTTGGGATATGACACTTAAGTGGGACACAATAAAATGAGGTATGTCAGTATCCATATTGTACAAATCTTTATTCCTAGTATGTAGACCTGTTCTTTAGTGAGAATGGCTCTTTAGAAAAAAGATAACACAAGAGACTGTTATAAATAGAAGTGTTTACTTTAAAATTGGTACTAGTCTAGCAACTGGTAACTTGGGTTTCTTACCATTTTCTAACTGATGATGAAGATGATTCTATCTTAACTACTTATACAAGTATTAGGGTTTATGTCTCTGTTTTTCTTGGGAAACTGGAAGCTTTGTCTGTGCTAATAGAAAGTGTCTGTGAAACCAGCTATTATAGAAAAATGAGGAATTTAGTCTCTGAACAGTTTTTCTTGAAGATGATTTCCCATTCTTTCTCAAAAGTGAATGCTACAGGAACTTATTGTGTTGGGTGTCAATTTACTGGGGGAGAAGTCATTGAATTTTGTACCAAATTTCTTCTATATTCCATCCCATGACTTTGTTTTTGAAATTATTTTATTTTGTAACTTAACTATATAAATAGTAGCATTAACTAAAAATATGCTGAATGTGAATCCTTTTAACAAATCACTGAGCCTGGACATATTCTTTGGAAGCTCAAATGCCAAAGAATATCAACTAATGATTGCTCAGGACTGAAAGTGTTCTTGGGATGCCCAAACTTTCTTTCTACTGGGAAAGATCCAGGTAAATTGAGATTTTTTTTAACCACATATACATAATTATCCCATAACATAAGGAGAAATTGATTCACATGAAGTCCACTGTTTCTATTTGAAATTCTTCTCATTGCATGGGTCTTCAAATACTTCTTTGGATTGTTCTTCCAGGTTCCTAAGAGTGAGGTAATAAAGGCCACCAAATTAGCAATAGAAGCTGGGTTCCGCCATATTGATTCTGCTTATGTATACCAAGTAGAAGAGGAGGTTGGACTGGCCATTAGAAGCAAGATTGAAGATGGCACTGTGAAGAGAGAAGACATATTCTACACTTCAAAGGTATTCTGTATGTTCTGTATATATGGGCATACTTATTTAATGCCATTGTGTGAAGATAACAATATATGATTGGATCAGGAGCTTTTTGGTAAGTTATTGCTTATTAGTACAACTTTTATTTACATGTTCTTGTATTAAAACTAGGAAAGAAAACAGATAAAGATGGTGTCTTTCACATCATTAGAGGGCCCAAATTTATGACTATAATGTAAAGTTGTTTTACTTTTATGAATATCAGATCAAAGCAGTGTGATTCATCATGGACTACATAATCAGATAGAATTATGACCAGATAATGGCTTTTCTTATCTTCTGGGTGACTTTCTAAAATCTGTTATTCTGAATCTCAACTTTTACTTTGTTAATCAGAGATAGCAATATAAGAGAGATTTTTAGTTATCAAAAGACATATCTATATTGTATTCTACTGTGTTCTGCACATGTTAACCTGTTCTAAACAGTTTCCTCAACTCTATAAATAAAAAGGATACAAATTCTTCCCCATCTTGTAGAATAGCTAAGATATTTAGAATGTTTGTTTACTATTTTGTAACTCAATCAAACATAATTTAGATAATGGGCATTGTTATTTGAGAAAGAACTTTATCTCTTGGATCACTTCATTCCACTATCAGTAGGTATATGGACAATAGCCAAATAGTAAGGTTTATATGTTCAAGACAGATGAAAAGAAACAAAGGAAAGAAGACAGTTATATTTCCCTGATGGTCATCAGTTTCCAACCAGCAGAAAAATGTCTCTGCATTAGGTAAAACAAAACTCATGCATTTGTCAACAAATATGCCATAAAGAATTGCTAAAAGGAAAACTGTAAACCCGCTGGTATTGATGTCTAGATGAGAAAACTTTGTCAACAAAACTGGCTAGAGTATTAATTCCAAATTTCATTCTTTAACCTCTGCAGCTTTGGTCCACTTTTCATAAGCCAGATTTAGTCCGACCATCCTTGGAACAGTCACTGAAAAAACTTCAGCTGGACTATGTTGACCTCTTTCTCATCCATTTCCCTCTACCTTTGCAGGTAAGGGGTTTGGGTGTAACTTGTTTCCTTTCCACCTTCCCTTATCCCTGCATTCCAACACATTGGCTTCATTTTCATCTCATCATTTTTTATTGGTAAAAAATAATGCCTTGGGGCAGTTTAAGACTCATTGACGGTAACATTTGAGAGTTACTTTGGCTTTCTGAAACCCATATTAATCTCAAAAAAAAAACCCCATCAAGATACTGACCCTGCTTGGTTCATATGCATGCTTCTGGACCATCATATGTCCACGGGCATAAGGATTTCTGATCCTTCCACCTGGGTCATGAACACAAGCCATTTATCACTGGATATCGAGGCTATGTAATTATTTATGGCCTTTCCCAATGAGGGAGAAGTGTTTTCCAGAGGAAAGTATAGGGGGTGAAAAAAATTAACAGAAATTCTATGAAACCCCCACCAGGACCTGGGAAAATAGTACTTATTATACACATGAAAGATCTAAAGGATTAAGGGAAAACCTGTCTCCAAAGGACATTCCTTACCACTTCAAATGCAAAATATTTTACAAATACAAGGATCTAGAATATAGCTCCACCTACTTTATGAAAACTTAATGTCCCATGCACACACCCCCACCAAAAGTACCTGGCAGCATAGTTAATTGTTGCAACACAATTTGGTGAAATCTCTAAAATGATGGCTTCTATTCCAGTCTGGGATGTCATTATTACCCAAAGATGAACAAGGAAAAGCAATATCTGAAGCAGTGAATCTCTGTGACACATGGGAGGTGAGTACTTGGAGGAGAGAGTGCGGAGGAGCAAATTGGTAGAGGAAGAGTCAGGTCTGACCTGCACCTCTGACAATGGGATCTACACCGCTGGACTTCCACATCCACGGCCTTCATGAGGGCTGTTCTGATGCAGTGGTTGGGAGGAAAGCATTACTGGAGAGTAATAGGGAGAAATGGGGAAGGAGTGAGAGAGTGGGGATAGGCATCTCTTTCTGTCCATAGTCAGTAATCTCTCCATTTTCTAAGGAGGACACAGGGATTCTCTCTTGTGTCATTATGTTTTTCTCCCATTTTCTTGGCAAAGTTTCCTCATCTAGACATCAATACCAGTGGCTTTGTTGGTATTTCTTCACAGTTTTCCTCTTAGCAATTCTTTCTGGCATATTTGTTGACACCTTCAAGAGCTATTCTTCATGACACCTTCCTCCCCAGGCCATGGAGAAGTGTAAGGATGCAGGGTTGACAAAGTCCATTGGGGTGTCTAATTTTAACTGCCAGCATCTGGAGATGATCCTGAACAAACCAGGGCTCAAATACAAGCCTGTCTGCAACCAGGTGAGCACCCTCCGGCTTCTCTCCTTCTGTTCTTCCTGTGCTACTGCCGGGCTTCCACTGGCAAACCTGTCCTGTGTGTGGTACCTTTGTGGACTAGAAGATACTGCAGACAGAGCCTCTGTCTGTATGGGCTTACAGAATACTTAGTTATGACTCTCCTTGACAATACCTTAGAGAAACGCTGGGAACATCTTGGAAGAAGTTGTGTTTATGAAGTCAAGAGAGGTAAAGGTGAAGGGAGGTAGAAGTTATTCAGACTTGGAGTGGTGGTCTTAGCCTGAGCTATGAAGGATGATCAACAACAGTGTAGACAGAAGGGCTGTGGAGAGCACCACGTATAGAAAGAAATGGCATGAAAACATGGAGTGGGGCAGTACCAAGGACACCGGAAATAAAGGCAGAGCAATGAAAAAGGTTCTTTCCTAGGGGGTTCAGATGTGTAATTTACATCATTTGGCTTAGAAGGAGCGGTTGTGGGGATACTAATAGTGGATGAAATCAACCCTGAGGGATTTTGAGCAGAACATAGACCTGACCCTGTGCCTGACCACATTTAGTTTCTCCTTCTTTCTTTCTGACATCAAATCAGCTATTTAAGCACATCTATTCTGTTCCTGGTTCTGTGCTCTAAGTTATTGTTTTTAACAAATTCCAGCCATGGAGTATGGGTCTTTGATTGAAAAATATAGCTTAAAAAATTCATGAATTTGGTATATAATGATATGAACCTTGTGATCTCCAGATGTAAATGCTAAAAGCTAATGTGATTTTAATACTAACCTCACCCTCATTTTTGACAATGCCCACTCTCAAGCCTTTAGAACATTTGAAAGGATGACACAGAACATCTGTATTCAACTATATCCCAAGTTGTTGAGGTTTGCCACATTGTCACGTGTAGGTAGCTGATGAGGTTACAGCTGTACACACGCATGGAATATTTCGCTGAATGTCTTGATAATACGTCCTATGCACAAGTGTTCACTCCTACAGACCTCAAAAGACATCTGCTAGGAATAAAGATCCTCTCTGCCATAGTCACTGTTGCATTATTAGATCTATGGAAATTATCAATTATTCCCTGATACCATATAATATCTGGACCACCTTCACATTTCCCATGGCTTCCCCAAAATTTCTTTTATACTTTTTAAACCAGGATACCATTGTGGTTCACACGTAATGTTTGTCAAGCTCTTTTCTGTTGTTCAAGCTCTTTTTAACCTAGAATTACCACCAATTCTTTTTCCCCAGGATATCTGGACAGGATTGGACAAATATTTCAGATTTGTTAGATTATATTCTCATAATGATAGTTTGTTTCTCTATTCCAAGTTTTATAAATTAGAAGTTAGGTCCAAATGCTTTATTACACTGGTGTTAACCATTTCCGGCAAGAAAATGTCACCATCATGTTCAGCCCAGGAGGAAGCATGTAATGACAGATCGCCCCACTGTGGGTGATGCTAATTGTGATTTCTTGGCTCAATTAGTGGTAGCCAGATTTCCTTTTTGATAAATGTGTGTTTTCCCCCTTGAATTAGTAAAGACCTGTTGAATGAAAATTGTCAACAGAGGAAATCGTGTTCCATGACAGATATGACACACTAATTGAATATCTATTGATAATTTCTGTCTAAATTCATTTGTTATATAGGGGTTTGTGAACAATTATTTTCATTTTTAACTATTCTTTGTACTTGACACTTTTTATGCAAAATTTCAACATATCAAATCAGGATAAACTGCAGGGCTGGGGTTGTGGCTCAATGGTAGAGCGCTTGCCTAGCATGTGTGAGGCACTGGGTTTGATTCCCAGCATCACATATAAATACATGAATAAAATAAAGGTCCATAAACATGTGAAAAAATAAAAAAATTAGAATTTTTTAAAAATGTTTTTTTAAAGATAAGCTGCAACTTTTTCCTTTAAAATAGTGGAATCCTTAATAGCTTGCCTTTAATTATTTACATTGTGTAGAGTTACTGTAACAATAAGCATCAGTAGGGGCAAGTATTTTTGTTCTCTCACTCTCTATTACTATGGGCATTAACACCTTTATTTACAATATGTGTTAGAAATGATCCTTTTTTGTTCATTATTGCTTTGGAGCAGAAATCTATTCAGCTATCACTAGAGAGATCCCTACCCATGGTACTTTGTCTTTCAGACTTGCCCTCATGAATCTTTGACAAAATTTTTGTTTTTGGCATGATTTGGTGTTCAAGGTTGGAAGAATTCTTTCCCCAATCCAGATCTGGAATTATGCATGTCTCCTTGTAGTTGAAAAGGGTATTAAGCATCCAAGATCTGGTGCACAAAGTTGTTTCTTCTTAGGAATGCCTCAAAAAGAAAAAAAAAATCAGGGTATAGAAGTACTGAATTAATATTTTAAAAGCACATTGTTACTTGATGTTAATTTTTTCATCTCAAATTTTATATTATAGTTTTTTTAAAAAAATCAGTTTCTGTTACTTTGACATTTTGTTTTCATATTTACATTAGCATTTAATAGAATCTTATACTTTCTGTTTTGTCCACCACAGGTAGAATGTCATCCTTTTCTCAACCAGAGAAAACTGCTGGACTTCTGCAAATCAAATGACATTGTTTTGGTTGCTTATGGTGCTTTGGGAAGTCCCCGAGACAGATGGTAATAAGGACAAGAAGCTCACTTAAAACATCATCAGTGATGAAATATTTCTATTATTATATTTCTATTATAATGTTTTCTTCCTTCTTTTCTCTTTTTCTTTCTACCTCTCTCCCTTTCTTTCTGTACTGAGGATTGAACTCAAGGACTCTCTACCTCTGAGCTACATCCCATGCCCTTTTATAAAATGTTATTGAGATGGGGTCTTGTTAAATTGCTGAGGCTGACCTTAAATCTTGCAGCGCTCCTTCTTCAGTCTTCCAAGTTGCTGGGATCACATGTGCATGCTGCCATGTTCAGTTTGTTTTGTAGGGTTACCCATGGAAGGGCTCAAGGAGAGGGGAGAACTTGCGTTTGTGAGTTGATCCCCTATGACACTGATGCTGCCAGTCCAGGGATTATATTTGAGGATCCCTGGTCTAGAGTAGTCTAAACAGAGCTTGGTCTATTTTGGAGCCTCCTAACAAAGTAAATACTCAGACTCAGGACTCCGGTATCTCTGCCTTTTCTTCCAGGACTGACCAGAACACCCCTGTTCTTTTGGATGATCCAGTTCTTGGTGCCTTGGCAAAAAAGCACAACCGAACTCCAGCCTTGATTGCCCTCCGCTATCAGCTGCAGCGTGGGGTTGTGGTCCTGGTCAAGAGTTTCAATGAGAAGAGGATCAAAGAGAACATGCAGGTGTTGAGGGGCTCTGGGGTTCAGGGTTCCTATGCAGTATCCTTTGCATGTGTGCTTTTAAACTCTCAACATATTTATGATGAGCTAGCTTCTCTGTTTTTGTTGATGCATGTGTGATATATTTCCACCATTTTCTTCATCCTGCCATGGCAACAGGAAGACAACATGACTGGAGATTATTAGGATTGGACAGAATATGGAGGCTCGGGTTTTAATATTAAGTCGGCAGTGTTCTGTGCAATCCTGTGCAAATTACATTTTTTTTAAATGAATTTGCTGAATTGGGTGATTTTAAATCTAATTTTTATGATTTTATTTATATTTCCTTGATTAGTCATAGTTTAATATTCATAAATTTATTCACTTTTAATTTTCTCTTTAATCAAGTGCTCATTGGTCTTTATCCACTGAAATATGTTATCTTTTTATTTTCAAGAGATCACTATTATACTATTAACTATACCTGCATAGCAACCTTCTGCAACATGGAAGTTAAAAATATTCATTTTGCTCATGGGAAACAATTACACTTGGCTCCCCTGAATATTTCTTCTGCTTTGGACTGGGCTCTCTCATATATTCGCAGTCTCAATATATATTCTCTGACGCATGTGCAGGACAGGGAAGTTCCTCTAGTTCAGGATGATTTTTTTAAATAGGCCAAATAACTTTAACCAAATATTTGTATTTGAAAGTACAGTTTTAGGGTTGTCACTAATTTTTGACCAATTTAATTTCACATCAATTAAATTTCACCAATTTAATCTCAGATCAGTGAGAGAAAGGCACTCTGGGATAATAAAAAGGTATATTTTCTGGGGTGAATCTTAATTTTGACTTTTGAACTTCATCATTGATGAAGATTCTCTGCTTATATAAAATTTCTTTTTAGTATACTTCAGTGTATGAATTTAGAATAGGATATACAAACAGTCCATAGCAGCTTTCATTTTTATTTTTGGTGGCACTGGAGGTTGATTCCAGGGGTGCTTTACTACTGAGCTACATCCCTGGCCCTGTTTCTTTTCTTTTTTTTTATTGATTGTTCAAAACATTACAGAACTCATGATATATAATCTTTCATACATTTGACTCAATTGGGTTTTGAACTCCCATTTCTACCCCAAATACAGATTGCAGAATCACATCTGTTACATACTCCCATTTTTACATAA